ATATGTTCACCCGTGAGCATATCAGCGATGAGTTGCATGGCTACGTCGCTGGAAATGAAATTACATTTAACTCCAACGCACTCCAACTTACTGACAACTCCACCGTGTTACGAGGAATGGAAAATGAATGAGCTCTCCCCCCACCCTCCCCTTCTGCAATTTTCGTCATGTTTCGATACTTTGAAAAATAGAACCAACAATACGTTACACGTCATGCACTGAGATGGCAATTCTAGTTTTCAGACCATGCTTCCATCGCATTATGAGAGTCATATGGGACGTCATAATTTTCTAATCATCACAACTTTACATATTTACTTCACTTGACTACTTTCCAGAGACCCCAATAGCCGACAACGTACGCCAGGAGTTTATTGATAACCTTTTGAACATCTACGAAGAACTGGAGAGCAGTTTTTCCAAGCAACTGTACTCGTTCTACAAGGGTTTTGAATTCCGGTCCTTGTGGAACATGGACAAAAAGATGGCAAAGTTTCAGTCTCGCGCTGCAACCCTCACAAAAGGCTCTGGTTATCTTCAAGGAGTTACCTCCCTAACTAAGGCTTTACAAGAAATAAAGAATATCGAAATGGCAGCGAGAAGCTGTTTTACCAGTAAAAAGCCCAAAATTGGTATACACAAATGGTCTTTTGACAAGACTAAAGATCCAACGGTAAGAACTTCAGTTTTTACTCCTACCTCAATAAATAACACAAATATCGTGAGGGGAGAAATAACGAATCGTTAAACTAACAGGAGGCAAGGATCTGTGATGGTTGGTGTGCTTACTACAGATCAAAAGTTCGGTTTTCAAGCGCTGGCTAAGTCGCCCTAACAGGTTCCTGGGCAAGACACTTTGGAGTTTAAAAAATGCATTGTGGGATTTTTGGTTTTTGACCGTGGAAACACGAACATAGCGTTTTGCAAATAGTTTATACCTAAATCTCATAAGACGTTTTGGTGCATAGTATCGCTAACTATACTGGCTTGCCCTCATCAAAGCAAGTCATGATACAAACAACGAGTGAAAATATACGGCGATGTTAGACATTGAATCGTCTCATAAGATATATATTATCCAACTTCTATATTTATATGAAAATGTCGTCCATTTTCTTTCGCCGTTTTTTTTTTTACCGTACAACATAACCAATTGTCCAAATAACTATTACACTTGATTCGCGCGTTATTTGTGTTCTAGTTAGCATTCGTTGGACACTCTCCCTAAGGGACCGGTTATTGGTATTATTTATCACGGGGGAAAAACCGTCGAGGGATTTTCGTGTCATAAAAACACTCTCTAACATTATTATGACCCCTCCTCCTTGGTAGTTATTTCTATGGTCCCCCCCCCTTACAGTCTGTTGGCGACGTCTGATCCCCCCTGTTCCTCCTGAAAACCGTATCATTCTTCCAAAATCCTCCACGCCCCATTTCCCATCTGGAGGAAAAATAGTGACCGGTTTCTTATTCCTAGTTTTCTCATGTTCTCTTTTGTTTGATAAATTAACAAGCATTCCTACAGTGAACATTTGTATCACCACTTATTAACTACGTAGAAGTTTCGTAGTTGATCCTTTCGCCTCCTTCATTTAGATGTTCAAGGAGTTGTACCAAAGTTACACAACGTTTTCCTTGGATATGGACCAGGCCTGTAAAGATTGCTACAATGTGCGCCTCCTAAAGGTACATAGATACAGAGCTGTTTAAAGAAAGGTTGTAAACTTAACAGATTTGAATACAATTACTTGCGTTGACGTTGTCATTTACTTTCCTATGCTTGAGAGATCTGCAAAAATATCCAAGATCAAGACTAATGGAAGACTAAATATGATTTACCATATATGATCCTCAATTTCCTTCAAAAATACATAAACAGTTTGAATTAAAGCTGTGACTTTTTTTCCTAACAGATGTCGATTGTATTTTAGGCTTTTGCCATGACGTCCCTATTGCATAGTTATACTGTTTGAACTCAAGATTTTCATAGCGCGATAAAATCATCCATGGACTTCAACAACGAATAATCGGATCTCATTTTTAGTTCTAATCTACTAATCGTAAAAAAAAAAAACACTCCTAGACAAGAGAGGCTCGTGCTTTTATTGAATAATGATATAAATAAGGGTCTCAATGGGGTTAACCTTTTGCTGTAAAATGGCTACAATTTTAACCGTTAGCCATAAAAGCCATTAGCCCATTGAGAACCTTATATATCATATGTATGAAAGAGCCAGTCAAAATCCTTGGATGATTTAGCTTATTAGATAAGACAGAAAAGACAGCAAGTAGCGTAACGAAGAAGATTGCTACGACTGGATAGAAAGTTAGCATATTATACTACTGTTGGAAGGTGAATATAAATTACTTTGTAAAGAGTTTTTTGGTGTTAACCAAAAGCATTTAGAAATTTGCGGAACAGCCATGCACCAACTAAAAAGGAGATGATTCAAAAACTTTACTATTCTTTACAGCATAGATATTTTCTTATTTTTGAAAGATATATGTGGAGCTATACGGTACACCCCAAGATCCGAGCGTCCCAGATAAAGTTCGTCTGAAACTTAGACCACTGGGGAGGTCTTACTTCAGGATTGGCGATAAGATCAAAGACTTCCATCAGCCAATGGCCTCTTGGCGATACTTGAGCTTCAATCGTTTCAAAATAACTGATAGTGTCAAGTGCAGACAGGGTAAGTAAAATAGAACAAGGAAGGGTAAGCGGTTAAATATGTTTAAAACTGAGCGATATATTTGGCCAGCGGTTGTCTTGCACATATGTAGGTTGACAGACAGCCCGACTGATTTGTTGTGTTGTTCTTTTAATCTGGTTTAATCCGTCTCTTTTAAAAACCATCCTCGGTTTCTCGATAGTTAACAAATTGTTATTTATTAGTGGTAACCAAAGGCACAGAAAACTTTCCAGGAGTTGCTACATTTGACAATGTTTTATTCGTTCATTCACTTAAGTATTTCAACCGAATTTAAAAAAAAAAGATGTTAAAGAAATAATATTGATATATGACAACGTGTCCTGCGTATGTGAAAAATTACAGCTTTTAATCATTTTGATAGAATTTGATGAACAGCGAGTTTCTCAGCCCTATTTCAGAGTGCGAAAAAAAAAATGAAGGGAGAGAGAATTACCACTAGTCGAATAAGCCATTGGACAGAACTTACATGAAGCAAAACGGACGTGCAACGCGCTTGAATTTGAATGGCCTTGTCTGATAGCTTAAGAATCTAACGTAGCGCAAGCTGGTGCTTTGGGAAAGAGAGTGAATTCTTTTTTTAAAGAACACCTGCACATGTGTTCTGTGGGTTTTTAATGGAGCCCTAATCATCCACCAAGCAGGCGTTAAGAAAAGCTCGCTTAAATAAATACCGTAAAAGCCCGCCGATAAGCCGCACTGGCAGATAAGCCGCATCCCGAATTTAGCAGCCAAAATTTTGGGAAAAATTTTTTTTATAGAGATCAAAAGATATCCAAAGTCGAGTCTTGAGAAGTCTTCTTCATCCACTGTTCATCGAACATAAACTCATCATTAACATTGCAACGAAAAATACTTCAAACTGTTACCCACGCACAGTTTTAACACTTTAATATGATGAATATTGTTTCTACCGACTTTGACGTATGATTAGTCTTTTTGTGGTATTTTTTGACAGGAATTTCCTCATTCAACACAGTTTTTCCATTGATTTTTGCATTGCAACAAGAATATGAGAAGAACATTCAAAGCTTAGTAACCAGGCATTAGATCGGACGCGAAAATGGACATTCACGACACCTTTTTCAAATGTTCCCGCAGATAAGCCGCACTCCCAATTTCTAGCGACGATTTTTTGGAAAAAAAGTGCGGCTTATCCGCAGGCTTTTACAGTAACTCACTTTGCTTTGTCCCTTGCGACTACAAAATGCATCGGTTTTATGCTGAGGAATTTAAGAGACGATTTTTTTTAAAAATAGTTGGCTCTTTTTACATCTAGATGGCGGTTTTTACTGTTTGACAAAAAACGATCCGCGCCTGACAGGGATGTGTTGTCACCCACTGATCGCCGCAACTTGTGATGACGCTTTGGCGGGGGAAGAAGAATGTCGAAGTGTGTTTGGAACCTACAACATTTCCATACCAGTTGATCCGACACTGGATTGCAGTGCACAAATAACCTACAAAAACTGCAAAAATCTGAATGTAAGTTTGCCCAAAGGAATCCAGTTGTTCAAAGAGTGGATAAAGTTATCCCGTAGATGACGAAGAACGTTTCTTTTTTGTTAAAAGAAGTATCCACAAAATAGCGTTACATACCCAACCTCTGAAAGGTGCGGCCTGGTAAAAAGAGAAGGAAGAAATTAAAGGGCTGGTGCTTGTAAAGGGAAAGTATTAAATTCGGTCATTAAGGGGGGGAGGGGCTAGTGATTGTGATTAAGGCACCAGTCATTATTTATCGCCTGAAAGGGCGGAGGGTGTTAGTGGGACTTTTGGGGGATGGCATGGTTTTCAGGAGCAATGGAGGGGGATCGATCGCCGATAATAGAGCATAAAGAAAATTGACACTGAACGAGTGGAGGGATCATTAGAAAACAGAGCTTTGTGGGGGGAAGGGAGGTATCAGGTAAATTTTATTGTGGCACAGTCAAAAATCCTCGGACCTTATATCATACCCAGGACCTACCGTGTACTGAAATGTTACCACTGCTTGGCTGTGGAGGGTTTAAGTATGAGACTTCCTTTGATCTCCCATCCCCACCCCCCTCCCCTCCCTCCCCTATTTATCTTTTACCAATTCAAAATATATCAAACGATTGTATTATCTTGTTTCATTTTTCATCAGCGAGAACTATTCACCCACATGAATGTTTGGACAACTTTCATGTACTGGCCTGAATCATACCCAAGGACGCCGGAGGATTGTGGGATTCAGAAGCGCAGTGCGACAGTCGAACCTGAAGTCGAAATGTTGGATCATTCTCTTATTCTAAGACGAGACGCTGAAGCTGATTAAAAAACAAAACAAAACAAAACAGAAAGACCCGTACAGATCTAGAGAGATCGGTCATTTAATTACCCATAAAAAGAAATGAACGCATATCCTGTCCTATCCTGAAATAAACAGACGAATTTAAAGATATCTGAAATATTAATAATTTCTCTCGCGTTGTAAATTTTAGATTTTTGCTCACTCATAACAGCATGCTGTATGTTAAAATCCACTTCCCAAGTTGGAAATGGTTTCCTAGATATGAAGATTTAGATACCCTTTGGTAAAAAAGAAACAGTCAGCATGGCCTCTTTTTAATTCTTAGAAGCTTCTTACGAAACAACAAATCATAGTCCATCTTATCCAGAACTGGAAATTAACACTCACAAAATCGCAAAATGCGAGTGACTTTGAGAATCCGCGAATGAGAAAAATATCCACTGGCAAACGTTTGCCAGTAGATAGGTGGTGGTTGTCATAACAACGAGATATGAGACCAAATATCTGACACCTTTTCTATTGAACTTTTCAGCTCATTAAAAGACTGTGCAAAATATTAATTCTAATCTTTCGATCAGATATGGTCATTGACATTTCAAAGGGAAAAAATTTTCTAGTGCTCTTACCAGTTAGTCAGTGGAAAAAAAAATCTAACTCGCAAAACTTTGCAAGTGGACCGAAAAGTTAACTTCGAGCCCTTTTATCGCCTGCAGAATACTCGTAGTATGCAATCGAAACACCGTGACCTAACAGATGTCAGCGGACAACAACTGAATAGTCCGTGAATACACCACACCCATTTTATTCACAAACAATTGCAGTTGTTATAAAATATACTAAAATATGTTGGGATAGTCTCAGTAGGTTTGGAAATTCACACCAAGGTCTATCTTAACGGAAAAAAATATATATTTACAAAAAATTCAAGTAACACTTGTTTGAAATGTGTAACAATAAGCAACATTCATCCAAATCGTCAAGCGACCGTTTCGAAAATATAACATACCATGATTTTCATACTATTTCGATTTGTAAGTACATGGAATTAAACGAAACTACAAGAAGAAATATTACCGTTGGAAACGTTTATGCACGTCCTCTTTCGCGAGAAAAAGCTGTTTTCAATTTTTTATTTTTTTTTTACCCCAACGACTGTGCATATGTCACTTGTTACTGGCTTTAAAAGCGCCTTAATATTTGTTCGTTTTATTTTTCGCATCCGGAAGGGAAGCACGGCTTGACAAGAAACATAAAGTGTTTTAAACTTTTTGTATGTTGTTGGTCTGTTTGTTTGTTTGTTTGTTTTTTACAAAACAGATCCATTATAAAGCATAATAAAAAAACAATTTACTAATACGTTCGCTTTTATAACAATTTGGTTTTACGTAAAAAAAATTACTTTGCCATATATTCAAAGGTAATCTCAGGACCTTGGAGTGCACAAATTTAGCTTTTATAGCAACAGCAAAATGGAACATGGCTTTATCAGCGTTAAAAAAAAACCAACGCATCGACTAGGACTAAGGCTTGTAGGCACGCATTGATACAGCCTTTTGTTTCTCGATCGTATCATGCGTCAAATTAATTTTAGAATGACTCTATCAGTTTGATTTTATATAATTCTCCTAGCTATGCTAATAGAATATCTTTTTTCTGTCATCAACTGGCATCTTTGCCGTCATTTTCATTAATAAGATTCAGTTTCACAGCGGTCTTCAAAGCTCTTTCAGCGCATGCTCTAACCATTGACATGTCAGGATTACTGTCTTTAGAGAAAACCATTAGGATCTCGTGAGTTTCACTTTCGATCAGCTGCGATGAACAACAAAAGAAAAAAGAAAGATATTACATTTTATAGAATAAACCAAATTGCTTCAATGAAGGCTTTGACGTAATAGATTGATTCATATAGTAAGTTGGTCTGTCATCCTGCAATTCCGAAAGTCAAGACGACCTTCGTCAGACGAACATTCAATCAGAAAGTCAATCAACCAGTCAGTCAGTCAGACAGTTAGTCAGTCAGCCAGTCAGCCAGGCTGTCGACACGTCAGTCCGTCAGTCCATCAGTCAGTCAGTCTGTCAGTCAGACAGACAGTCAGTCAGTCAGCCAGTCAGCCAGGCTGTCGACACGTCAGTCCCTCAGTTCATCAGTCAGTCAGTCTGTTAGTCAGTCAGACAGTCAGTCAGTCAGACGGACGGACGGCCAGCCAGTCAGTCATTCAGTGAGTCAGTCAGGCTGTCAGTCAGTCAACGAACCTGGCTTTCTTTACGTCCATCTGCTGTAAGTGACTCCGTCAATCAGTCAGTTTAATGATGGCTAAATGTACCATGTGTCAATTAGTCCTAAATCAATTTCTCTTCCCATTTCTCGAACAGTAAATCATTTTATGCAACTGTCATTTGGAGGGGAGGGGAGAGGTTAATGAATAACTTTCCTAACCCTTCACCCCTTGATTTTCGTGATCTCCTCACTGCTCTCCTTACGTTTCCTCTGCCAGGAGCTTCCTAAATTGTGATCATTACCTTTATTCTCCTCACCTTAATGTGTGATTCCGGGGTGATGTTGTAAGGAGAAATTAGTAGCCAATCACATTTGGGGGTGAAAGGGTTAATCAGCAAGACCTACTCAAGTTGCAGATCTTTTCTTTGATCTGAGTCGTGACCTTTGCGTGCGATTCAAGGAATGATAAAAATCAGACTCCAGTCACCCCTTGGGTTAAAGGAATTCATGGAGAAAGGGGGGGCATTATCAGCAAGCTTAAGCACTGCTACGGAACTACGTTGGAGTTCGGTTAGTTGGAGTTCGGTTAGATGTTACGACAAAGGACTACATACTGGATAAAGTTCGTCGAAATCTACTCAGCCATTTTCTATTCTCAGTTTCACCTCCTACCTCTTCACAGAGCACCATGTTACACATGCACTCAGTTGCGGCTCTTTTGACCAGATCATGTTCATCAAACATCAGACTTTCGATCAGAGAAATGCCTTGCTCTTTCACAATATGCCGCCTACATTCACAAACAGAAAAGCTAGTGACAAAATCAATGCAGCAGCAGCTACTTTTGAAGGTGTTCGTGGGGCTAGGGAAAGGCTACGCTACGATATGATCGTGTTGCGATAAAGAGCCGGAAAATCCCAGTCGCTAGGCATCCTTTCCTCCGAGCAAAAGTGCTCTTGCGAACTCTATAAGTGTTGCAGTTGTTTCGCGATAAGTGAATCTTGTGTTCCTCGATGGAAGTTCTTGTTGGTTTCTGGGGCATGGTACCTTTCAGTGACATACATTCATAGGTATTCCTGCCCTGTGGCTATCAAACTGTGAACTTTGATCATACAACGCAACCGCCACTCACCTATAAAACCTTCGTTGCAAAAAACTTCTGTAATGCAAACTGAGTAACTATCTAGTGTATAAAGGGGTGAGTTTCTAAAGAAACTGGGGTGTTGCGTTAGTGGGAGTAATAAAGTAATATTGGTTTTAACAACTGAGTTGGCCAATCTACATTTTACATTTAAAACCAATATTGTCTAGTGCATATGTTACAGCACCAAGGACAATTAGTCATTGTGTAAAATGTGATGATATGTTCGCAGTCCCCCTAACATAACAATACATTTTGGGGCGGAATAGTACTGTCATCCCTTTGTTGCTCGACTAATTCCCATGCAATGGAGAAAGAGAGTTACTACTTTTAAACAATCGAGGTTTTATTTCTTTCTTTTCTTACCTAATCTCGTCGTTCATTTGCGCCAGATTTGTCAGAGCCATGAGAGACTCAAACTGTTGCAAGGCCTGCGAGGTAAACAAAATTACATAAATAAGAAATCGTTAAAAAGTTTCCAAGAATATAACATGTTTAAATCAAGGAAGAAAATGTCTCACCGTTTTCGATGGATGCAGTAACCTCAGAAGAGGACGAACCAAGCCGAAAGACTGTCAAGAAACGAAATAAATCACTCATTAAAATTATCAGCCTTGAGTTAGAAATAAATGCGTTCCCGTAAAGCTCTTATTATTGTTAAATGGGTGGGGCAATTTTCACGATAATGGACGTGCAGTCGGGAAGGCAAAACTCATCAACTATATTCCTTACTCTTTATCCAGAAAATGCGACTTCCGGGTTAATAGTGATAGCAATTTTAGACACGGATTGCGCTGCAAAGTCTGATCCTTTCTCTGTGTTTTGGGCAGCAAGGGAGATCAATGCCTAGAGGAAAGACAAAACAGTGAGCATTATGCAGAATATATAATCATAATGATTGAGAGAGACGACAGAACTGACTGCCTCATACAAACACCCTCCCCTCCTTTTGCTGGCCTTAACTTCATCTTGCACCCTCCCATCCCTTTGCTTACCTTAATTCTACCTTATACCCATCCCTTCCTTTGCTCTACTTAACTCCACCTTCCACCCTACCCTCCCTTTGCCTTAACTTCACATAGCACCCTCCCCTCCCTTTGCTTACATTAACTCCACTCTGCACCCTCCCCTCCCTTTATTTACCCTAACTTCACTTTGCACTCTCCCCTCCCTTTGCCTTTACTCCACTTTGTACTCCCCTCACTTTGTTCACCTTAACTCCACTTTGCACCCCCTCCCTTTTTTTTAACTTCACATTCCACCCTCTCCTCCCTTTCCTTACCTTAACTCCGCCTTGCTGCCCAGTGACACCTCTGTGTTCTTGCTCATTTATTATTTCCATAAAAACTCCGAAGGCAAACAGTAAAAAGTTTTCCTTACACTTTTCTGAAAACCCTGGTCACAGCTCAAACCGTGTAGTTATTTAACCCTTTCATTCCGAATATCTAAGTTTCAATCCTCATTGCAGTCTACTGTACACTGATTGATTTTAAAAAATCCGTTAATATCCCCTTAAAATTTTTCTTCCTCTACTTCGCTAGTGACCCATCCTCGGAGACCTAGGGACTGTGAGTCTATTTCAAGCTTGGGCGGAAGAGCCCCTGGGGACATTGTCTTACAAGACTAGATCCAAACGGTCGCAGTCGGAGTGAAGTGTCCTTTCGTGTGTTTTAACACGGAGATGGACAAGAAGCTTAGTTGCTCGCCATGTTTGTTTGGGCCGTGAGACGGAGCTCTGCTCGAGATGAAAAGTCCGCAAAAATCT